ATTCCTGCAAATGTATACTCGACTATGTTCAAATGTGCTTTTGTTAAGTGGTTGAAACCTTATCAATGACCCTAAACCCTAATCTGTCAAGATAAGGCATCCTTTCTAAACAAACCCTTAAATATCAAATACTCAATGAGGATTGGTGAGACTAGTATCTAAAAACTGGGATAAACCAAAGTGGTAAGTGGCTTAATACAAGGAAGTGAGAACATTTCTTTATTTGTAATTTGAGTCTTGTCTAAAGCAAAACTAGCTTTTGTTCAGTGACATATCTAATATTTAAATAATGAAACTAACCCTAGGTGTACTAGATGAAAGTAAACACCAAATCACAATTGTAAAAATACTGTACACTTAAATTCATTGGTATATTTTCTCTCTAACCAGCGGTGTGCAGAAAGATCGTTTAGAGTAAAATGGCAATGGCTATTTTCTCCCTCTGCTGAAGGGCCCCAGCCAGCAGGGTCAGAGTCAGTATGTCCTGAATGCAAGGTCACGCTGAGAGGACCACAGACCACTTCCCTGTTGCGACCAGGCAGATATGCTTCCTCTAACTTTGAATCATATAAGGCTGCCATAGGTTCCTTTTTTATAGGAACTGAGAAACAATGCTGTTTCACAACAGCCCGGCTGCTACATTTATAGACTGCTGAGTGTTCTTGTCTCTTTGAACGCTTAGGAAACACAAAAGTTTGCCTGATTAATTGGAAAGACTTGAGGCAAGAATCCCAGTGACAACTCAAGGGCAATGTTTAGAGACACAATGCTGTGTGATGTGTGGGAACAGTGGATGTTGTAATTGTAGAGGATGTTGGGCACTTAAGTATTTTTCGTGGGTATATACGCCTGTGTGTTAAGCTAAGGAAGACAATAACATGATCCATGTACTAGACAGAACATCATTAAGTGCATATTCAATGCATTCAAAGATGCCAGCACTTCCAATCCATCATTAAGTGCTTACAATTCAGATTATTATAATGTATTCTTTCAATGGTTGGAAACAATATATTGTATTCATTAGAGCGTAATTGTAGATTTGATTCAATAGACATTAAGTACACTATGAAGGTACTACTTCTTTACTTTAGTCTGCATTGAGATATTTTACTTGACTTTACATTACTTTAACATTTAATCATCTAATATCACTTCTATAATATTGTATGCTGTCCCATCTTTTAATTTCCATCCAGTATTTCCTTCATAGAACAGCCCATACTTGTTTACCGAAAGTATAACGCAGGACCTTGTAATTTGTATTTTTTCACTGTGGCAATGCTAATGTTACGTAATTAAAGGATTTGAATCACTGGTGTGAGGCAAGTTGTGGTGACTGTCTCCATGTAACACATGCATCGCCTCTTTGCTCACGTAGATGTGACCACACACAGGCTTTTGACTTATTAGATTCTAACTATCAGAGCAGCACAACAAATGTAAGACCTGCCTGGCAGGGACGTTGTTGTCTCGTCTTCCCCTTATTAAAAAACCACACAGTCAATCTAAGACTGTATCATCCTTTGACTCATCGCTGAGTGTAAAGTACCGAACGTCACAGTATCTGCTGATTCAAATGAATTCCTTTTAGCTTTATATCTATTTCTCCATTGCTGTTGTATCTTTATCACAGGAGATTTATGAGCCTGTAGTTTTAGATCAACACGGGTAGAGACTCATACTGTCATACTATATGCCAATATAAACTCCTAGTTGTTTGCTACGTTGTGTGGGGATGGTACATTGAGCAAACCTATGAACTGTGTATCTTGTGTGTGTGTGTGTGTGTGTGTAAGGACCTGTGTTTTTATGAGAATTTATGTGTGTTCTACTTGTAAAAAACAGTTTGAACTTTAGACTTTTTCAAAATGAGATCATTTGCTTTGGTCTGTATGTTTTATTTAGTCAGTAAGGATAGATATAAAATTGAGGGATTGGGGGAATAAATGTAGTCAACGTTCATTTTGAGGCTGGACAATGTGTGTTAGGCAGTAAAAATGCATTTGTACTGTGAATGTTATTTTCTGTGTCACATTTGTTGAACATTTTTTTTCGTGGGTGCTCGATCTAAACCCTGCTCGTCTAAACAACACTCACTATTACAGCAGGCAACAGGAGTTCATGTTAAATCTCAAGTCCCCCTCCAAAACATCTTCTTTTTTTTTACTTCCTGCTTTCTTGACAAGCAGCATTTATTTGAAGCACACAGTAATGCCTTTTATTTATTAAGTTTGGTAAAAAAAACTCCCTCAAATATTTGCATTTAGTTTATAAAAATGACCCAAACCGACACACAGTGATAGCAGAGGGTATTTTTGTTTTGCTTGTATTTCTCCTGACTCCTGTTCCCACCACTATTGTTTTTCCTAATTTCTTAATTCGAACCATCACCTCACCTAAATACTACATTTGTGTTGACATAAGAGTCGGAAATGGAAACATTTTGTTGCAAGAGTGTGTGTGTGTGTGTGTGTGTGTGTGTGTGTGTGTGTGTGTGTGTGTGTGTGTGTGTGTGTGTGTGTGTGTGTGTGAGAGAGAATGTGTAGGCTTATTGGTTATTCCTCACTTCTGAACATGACTTGGTTTTAGGGATGAGAATAGACTGGCCAAGGGTTTGCGTTAGACATGTAGTTGTGGTCCTTAGGGAATGCATAATGTCAATAGAACTTCTCACAAGTACAAACAAATATATCTGTGTGTATGTGTGGCCTACAGTCTGTGTCACTGTTGAGTTCCTCTGATCTCACTTACTTCCCAGGTAAGCCTTGTTTTCTGTCTCAACATGTTTGCGCCTGTTTTGGTTGGTGCTAACAGCATCACCATGCGCAAGTAGTTACACATGATGAAAAAGCGGTGCCTACTGTAATCTGAATGCAAACAGGTTAAGGAATTTGCCTGTAAACGAAATGTTTCCTTTCTTGTTCAACACGTCTTGAGCTTGACGATAACTGAAAGGAAGGGTGAGGTTCAGTTAATTCATGGCGACCTTTACAGCTCTACTTTAAACCGTTTCACTCAGAGACTTCTATAATAAAGCAGGGGTTATGCAATTGGTGCCAGCTGTCATTAATGTAGTTGCCAATTAATATCAATGGTGGTTGTTTACTTCACCAGCAGACATATCGCAGCTGTTCTCATGCATTCTAGCTGTGCGAGACAATCTTCTGCAACGGAGACACAGTATATAATCAAGGCATGTGAAGACACTGTAAAACAAGTAAAGATGTGTGGAAATCACATGTGATTTCATTCTTGCTTCACTGCAGCTGCATTGCTTTCGAGGAAAGGTTTGATGAATATGATAATTCCACAGAACCACATGCTGGCATTGGATGATGCAGCTCATCCAGACACAGTTAGTGGTTGGATTTCCACTCCAGTATCAACACTTCATGAGCCTTTCATGGTTCAATTGTGTCTACTAAAGTATAGAATCTGTTTTCGTCTCTTGTTTTGTGTTAACTTTAGAATTTCCCTTTTCATAAAAATAGATGGTTAAGTACAGAACACACAGTGACTTGATAAATAGCCAGAATGTGTCTGGTTCAGACAGCCCCTGGATAATGTTTCAAAGGAGGGTAAAATCACTGTGAACTTTGGTTGTTTGCTCAGTGACATCGTCAAACAATTACAGAATACTTTACTGCGTGTGTGTGTTTCCATAAGGTTGGAGGCTTTAATCATTCAGATATCCAGTAGAGGAAAGTTGGCAAAAGATAAGAGATATTTAAAAAAAGTTGACAGTAATTCTCGTGATTGGATGTGCGTATCTTCTGCATGTGAGCAGCAGGGGAAATAACAGAATGGATCTATGAATGGGTCTACACATTTGCAGGCAAGTCATGTTTTAGGGTCTGCACAAACACACGCTCACATCAGCCCACCGACAAACCCTATTCTTCCAACACACACACACACACACACACACACACACACACACACACACACACACACACACACACACACACACACACACACACACACACACAGCCTCAGACAAAAGAAGGGGATTCCAATCCGTCACTGAGATGACATCACAGCCTGCCAGTAATAAAAACAGCTAAACAAGGGAGTCCCCACTTCCCCTCCCTCGTACACATCCCACAGAATGAACAGAGAGAGAGTCGAGTTGAGGCAAGTCACTCTCACAAGTTCACAGAAAGAGAGGGAGGGTAAGAGAGAGAGAGAGAGTCCCTTTTAAGGGGTTCACATGCACACTTGAGTGCGCTGACACACGCACAAACACACTTAGCTCCGTCTCCATAGTGATCTGCGTTAGTGCCCCGGCTTTGGGAGGAAATGCCAAACTCCGTGCTTAAAGGCCGCTCCACCAGAAAGACACACACACAAACACAAACACACAAACACACACACAAACACGACTCTATTATAACTGTTTGTCCGGTCATGACGGGAAAACCTCTTCTCTCTTTCTCTCATCACTCTGCTACCTCCCTCGGTCCACTCTCCCGTCTCCTTTCCACTTCCACTCTCTTTTTTCTCTCATCCCTCCCCCACTCTCTCTCTCTCTCTCCCTCTTTTTCTCTCTCTCTCTCTCTCTCTCTCTCTCTCTGCTTCTCCCGCTCCCCTGTCAGTGTTAAGTTCATTGAAGTAGACAACAGAGGTAAGTTCACTCTTTAGCTGTGCTCTCTAACATGCTCTTAGTTTTAGTCTTTGTGTGCGCTGTGGACAAAGTTCAGGTTTATTATCACTGCTGCGAGTCCTGCTGATGTAGTGCGGCAGAAATACTAGTGTGTGTGTGTGTGTGTGTGTGTGTGTGTGTGTGTGTGTGTGTGTGTGTGTGTGTGTGTGTGTGTGTGCGTGCGTGCGTGCGTGTGGTAAGAGAGCACTTCACTGGATTTCTTAATGGCCTGTTTCTTGAAGGCACTTGAACTGCAGACAGGTGACCCCCCCCTCCTCTTCACAAAACAACACATTAGCAATTGTGAAGCACGCAGGCTCGATAAAGTGTGTGTGTGTGTGTGTTTGTGTGTGTGTGTGTGTGTGTGTGTGTGTGTGTGTGTGTGTGTGTGTGTGTGTGTGTGTGTGTGTGTGTTCTATGTCCTTAGGAAATGTGTACAGTACCTCAGCCAGATCACTTTGCCAGCTGTGATGTGGATCTAGATATTGTCTGACATTTAACTTACCTTAGTTATCTCACTCTAGCATTTCAAATAGCCTTGCAAATATGGACAGTCAGTTACACCCTTTGTTCCTCCTTTATAAACTGTGGATATTAAGTGTTTAAGCACATATAAACTACAATAGCATCCGGGTGTATGTGTTATTAAAATCCTTTTAGTAAATACTGGAAACCCAATGAGTGCTTAGGAAAGAAGGGAAACAAAAGAAAGTATAAGCAGACACAGCGATCAAATATACTAAAAGAATAACTATAATATAAGGAGGTTGATACTATTAATTATTGCTTGCTAACAGTGTCTCGTTGCTGATGTGTTGTTTAATCATAACAGGTCATCATTTTTTGATTGTCGCCAATTGTTCTCCTGTTTTGTATAAACACTATTCCACAATAAAGGGGTTTCCTTTGAAACCTTTTCCAAAGAGGAAATCTTGTTGATCTTTCAGCATTAGCTGCACACTTTGGCATACGACCATTTCAAGTACATCGTGGCATGACTTCAAGCATACCAAAACAAAAATGCATCTGTAGTCCTGGGTAACAAAACAACTCAAATGAAAGACTTTCGCAAACCCCCCGGTCAGACCTTTTCTCATACAGAGAAACATCACTCACATCTGGATGCAAGATTGGCTAACCCCCCGTTCCTCTTTCCAATGTTTCCCCATCTTTTCCTCTCCGGCAACCCTCTCGCTTCCCCTTCCTGTCCGTCTGTCTGTCTGTCTGTCTCTCCGCCCCCGCTCTCAGAGATGAAAGAGAAGAACCCCTGGCAAACGCCTGTGACCATCATCATCACCGTGATTGGTGTCATAGCAATTGTTGCCTTGGTGACAGTAGCAGTTTTGCAGAACAAGCCCCTCCCCCAAAAGTACAAGGTATGGTTAAAGGAATCTGTTAAAATGTAACAGTAACCTGTTCCCTGTGTGAGCCCACTGAATTACAGAGAGATTTCTTTACAGTCCACATGCCAAATATGATCTGTTGTCAATGTGACCTCAACCTTTACTAGTGTTTCTAGAAATACACAACCAAATAAGGCCAGAGGATGTTGATAGAAATTTTAAAACACCGCTACTTTTGGGCACAGATGCAGGCCCACTAAGAGTACCACATCTGTTGCTCATTAAAGTGTTAAGGGTTCTGTTTTACAACATAGTAAAGCTACATATATTGCTGATATACAGGTAGTTTTGGCAACTAGTTTGTCAGTGGGCTTAATGTTTAAACTGCATGTCAGGATGAAAGTCACTGAGCACTGAACATGCATTCCTCCTTGTGTCTCCACTCAAGTATGGGATCGTGCTGGACGCCGGCTCCTCCCACACTGCTCTGTATATCTACGAGTGGCCAGCTGAGAAGGATAACAACACGGGAAGAGTTGAACAGAAACATTCCTGCAAGGTCAAAGGTACAGTACATGCTGCACACAGTGGTCATGCACAAATGTTGCCGTCAAAATCACGAGTGCGGCCACTATGCATGCCAATTGTTTTTATGTTAAGTCATTGCAGTACTTTGACCTGCTTGTCAAACAAGTTAACCAATGGTGGCTAATTCGCTGGCTCTCTGTATCTCACAGTAGCTTTGGTTTCTGTGGGGACTTTCCCACGCTGGGCTTGGCCGCACATTGAGCTTTTGTCTTAACATTTTATCAAGAGTATCCAAGATAGACACTTTACTTAGATGTTTCTTCTTGAGCTTCTGTTAAGCTTCTGCAATACACCTAGCTGCTGCACGGTTGCCATGGTCTCTCCCACCCATATGGTATTTACTCTCATGCAGCGGAACTATCTCATTGGTCGCACTTCAAATGTCAAAAGAGACAGAGGTCAAAGTTTAAATAATTTGAGATTTGAGCATAGCGAAGTGTGGGTACCACTTGTGTTCAGCACTGCTCCCTCCATAGGGAAACAATGGAAGAGCCATCACAGAGCACTTTTATCGCTGATCCATGATCTGACCATTAATCTGATTTTGATAAAAAACGCTTTAATAATAATAATAATTTTAATTTTTATAGCGCCTTTCAAGAGACCCAAGGACGCATTACAATGGGAAGCAAAACAACAAAAATAATAATAGTAAAAAGCCATTTACGGCAGGAATGTATAAAAAACGAAACATTTACAACACCGCACCATAGGGTTTACTGTATTGGAATAACCTTTCATTTATGACTTAATCGATATGATAATATGGTAGCTGAATAAAAATCCCAAAGGTCAAGTCGGTTGTTAATCAATAAATAAAGTCATAATTGCAGATAGCTATTGCTATTTGGGTCAGATGATTGATGACAAGGCAACACAGAATAATTGAAGGTAGATATACACCTAAATAAATGTTTATACCGTGGCAACAAAAAGCATTGATAAGGATGAACTAGAGCCAGAAAGTGTTTCGCCTGTTATGGCTTACATTTCAAATGAAAGGTTTACTGTTAAAAGAATCAGGTAAGAGAAACCCATCACTTGCCGACTATAAAGTAATATCATAAATAAGTGAATAAATGAGTGCTCCACACCAAATGATTTATTATTCGTAAATAATGTCATTAGTAACAACATAATTAGGAAAGTGGTGCATACAGTACCATGCCTGTGTTGTATGCATAAATGTGTAAAGTCAATTTACATTTTGCCCACAAACCTGCAGTAAAATCCAATTGTGTCCAAAGTGCCTCAGTCTCAAGGCAACATTGTTATGCAACCAAAACTACGTTAATTATTAAAGCTCTTTTAAATACACCGTAAAATAGAACGCTCTGTCCAACTGACTCCTACTGTTACCTTCTCTGCTGTAAATGTAACTACCTTTTATCAAAGCTGGCCTCCTAATTTGACTTGGTTATAAAAGCCAAGAACATTTTCATATTTGCTAGACAGTGGATTCCTGTTGATAAAAGGAGACACATGCTTCTCTGAGTAAGATTTGCTTACACTTTAGAGCCTAGCTGTTTTACTGAACATATTAAACAAATAAAAAATGTCTTCAACCGTTTTAATTGTTAAATTGTCTAGAATGAATGGCAAAGATAAGGTATTAAGAGGGGTAGAGAAAAGAAGAATACTAAATTAAATACTTGCATACATGAAGTGTGCTTACAGGAAGCTGACACCTTGATAAACTATTCAGCTTTTTCCCCCGATAGCAACTTGCTTGCCAATTTATGGGTTTGTACAGATGACATTCAGTTCTAAAGCAGGTTAGCATCTCTAAACTCAAAGCTTCTTTTGACATTTTGTTTTCTTTGCAGGTCCAGGTATCTCCAGCTATGCGTCTGCTCCAGTAAAGGCGGGAGAGTCTCTGAGAGTATGCATGGAGGAGGCCAAGCAGTGGGTGCCCGGAAAAAGACACCACCAGACCCCTCTTTATCTGGGGGCCACAGCTGGAATGAGATTGCTAAAGTACGACAAACATATGCAAACACATCCCCACAGTCCACCGTAAAGCATGCACCAACAAGAAGCAGCACAGCATTCGTTTTCATGCTCACACTGACTGGTGTATCCCTAGCTTTGACTCTGTAATTGTGTTTGCACTGGCAGTCAAAGTGCTTCTATCTGTAGCCTTTTCCATATGCCTGCTCTGTGATTTATCTCCATATGAACTTTACTGCCAGAGCAGCGAATATGTTACTGTCAACTCCATATATATACGACACAGTCCATTTATTATTTATGTGCTGCGGTATTGATTTGAATTATGGCTGTGAATCAGTCTAATGAATTTATGTGTGTATGTGAAGTATGGAGAATAGCTCGGCATCAGACAAGGTCTTTCAAGCTGTGGAGGGCGCCCTGCAGAAGTTCCCCTTCTCTTATCAGGGAGCGAGAATCCTCAGCGGCCAGGATGAGGGGGCTTTCGGCTGGGTCACGGTCAACTACTTGGATGAACGCCTGAAACAGGTCTGGAGGTGTATGCCTGCATGTGTCCTCTTTTCATGTGCTCTGTTTGCTTTTACTCTACACTGACTTCAATGCTTTGTTGTATTTCCTGCAGGGTTTGGAAACTAGAGGCGCCCTTGATCTCGGTGGAGCCTCTACCCAGATTAGCTTTGTTTCCGATAATTATGACGGTTCAGAATCACCTAGCAACTCGGTGACTTTCCGTCTCTATGGAAATGACTACAACCTGTATACCCACAGCTTCCTGTGTTACGGGAAAGACCAAGCTCTAAGAATGACGCAAGCACACCAGTCTCAAGTAAAGTTCAGATTTTCCTTTCAATTAAATGTGATCTTATCAGTCAAGATTTAAAAGAGACATAATATGCTCAAATGTGCAATGTTGCTGAGTTAAACGTAATTTGCTTCTTCTCCATATTGCCCTCTCTCCTAGGCAGGTCTAGCAACAGTATTAGATCCTTGTTTCCACCCTGGCTACACCGCGACAAAGAACTACTCGGTCCTCTACGACAGCCCCTGTGTGTCAGACAGGAAACCCAAAGGTGCTCCTGATACCTTCACTCACATCGGGATAGGAGACTTCCTGCAATGCCAGGCAGCCGTAAAAAGTGTCTTCAACTTTACATCCTGCAAATACAGCCGATGCTCTTTCAATGGGGTCTTCCAGCCACTTTTGCAGGGGCCATATGGGGTAAAGTATTATTCAAATCAAATAAAAACATATGTTCTCCTATATTTCTAGTGGTATCTAGCTATGCAGATATGTGTTTTATTGCTGCCACCACAAGAACATACCTGCCAACCCTACCGATTTGGGCGGTAGTCTACCGCTTTTGACATGTTTCTACCGTCTGGCTTTCCTTACCGATTTTCAATCTTCCCAAACTATAACAAATAAAAAAGACACTACATAGACACTGGACTCGACTTTTGGCGGACACCGTTTGCAGCGTGTCTGTGATCGCATCATACAAACTGAAAGAAAGAAACAACGTGCAGACCGGGGGTAATGCTGCCTTTCCTCTGCACCCCCGGGGCTGATGGGGAACAGAGACGAGGCATTTGAGTCCTGCAGGATTTCCCTGTTAGTATCAGTGTCTCGATGTTGTTGACTGAAAGACATCCAGTGTTTGGTATTTTCCTGAAGCATCCTTCACCTACAGTGTCTCAACTGAAAGAGGACCACAAACACACAAACACACACAAAATATAATACCATTTTGAGATTTGGGGTTATTTATCTCCCAGTCTTTCACTTTTTCTGAAATTTTCAACACACTAATATGTCAACAACATGAAACAAGAATATGAACCTGGCTTTATCCAATGTTCACACGAGTACTAAATCCTGATCCTTGATCTACACTGTCTCAACTGAAAGAGGACCAGACATTTTTTTTTTTTTTATTATATTTTTAATGTGTTTCTGCCAGAAACACATTAAAAATATAATAAAATGTGGGGACTTTGGGATATTTATCTCCTATTCTTTTACTTTTGGGGCATTTTACAGACCAGACATGTCATTGATGTCACTGTTTACCAAACTACCACTTTTTCTGAAAAATGCATAAAATGATGCAATATATGTTAAACACATGGTTTATACATGTAATTACTGGGGTTCCATTTCTTCTGATTACCTAATTTGGGCGTGCACATTTGCCGTGCGCAAACCTACCTCTTTTGGATTTGGAAAGGTTGGCATGTATGCAACAATACTGTTTGTGAATGACTTTGTGGGGCACGTTGAATTTCTCAGAAACACTCAGACAACCCAGACATCACTGTATGTATCACTTTCTTCCAAAATGTATATTTTCAAGAGACATTGGGGTTGAATTGCCTGCTCTAGTTACAGCTCCTTACAAAGAGAAATAATGTCCTGTGTCAGTGAGGATAAAGTGTTTATAAAATGATTTGCTGAAGATACCAGGACACCAAGTTCACTTTGCCTCCTCTCCCCCTCTCTCTGTAGGCTTTCTCAGCTTACTACTTTGTGATGAACTTCCTAAATCTGACTGATACATCCGTCCCACTGGAAGATGTCAAAGAAAAGCTAAAACGCTACTGCGCTACCAATTGGGATCAGGTCGGGGCATATTTATGCATCAGTTCCAGACACAAAACAAATGTCCTGTCATATTTCTCTGTCTTACTGTCTTATCTATGTCCTGCAGCATGCATATACAGTGCATTGATAATATCAATGCATTTGCTTAACTGCTTTAACAGATAACGCAGCAGCATCCAGGCGTAAAGTTAAAGTATCTGGCTGAGTACTGTTTCTCTGGCACGTACATCCTAACCCTGCTGACGGAAGGTTACAACTTCACCTCAGAGAGCTACTCCGACATAAAATTCATTGAAAAGGTCAGTAGATCACACTCCACTCTTTTCCTGTCTCACAAAGCATTAACGCCCTGTGTTGGTTTTTGTGTGTACTTCTGTTTTTCTAAAGACCTAATTGAGATGAGGAACTTCCTATTTTATGCTTAGGTTATATTCAGGTTCCAGTTTGGCTGTCCCACATCCTCAGCCTCCACATTACTCTCTGTCTAACCACATGGGAGACCACTCAGCACATATCCTACTTAAAACATTGTTTTTAATAGCATTACATATGGCTAAAATGATTATACTGGATTGCTCACTTCAGAAAAATGAACTTACCATAATCAAGCACTGGCTCAGCCTAAGACAAAACACAGAAACCAGACAACGTCAAACAATAACAAGTGATATTATAGGTGCTTCCTCCGTTCAGAAGAACACAATAGCGTCAGGAATTGATTAAATGGTAAATGGTTAGAGTTACATTTAGCAAAAAGGCTCTGCTGTTTGAGGGAGCTTTTATAGAACTTAAATGGCTGAGAGAACTTGCTTTATCAATAAAGAAACTGCTGAAGTATCATACATTTTTTGATATGAAATAGAAAAAGCAATAACATCCTAAAAACAAATCACATGAAACCTATTGAAAAAACCTAGTTACTTACATTTTTAGAATGTTTATCTAGTTTACTTTTTCTCATGTAGCTCCATTTGCTCGATGTTGTATAACTCATAGGCTGTTTTAAAAGTGTTGTTCAGGTGGAGCTTAAGAGTAACTTTTTAAGTGTTATGTAATAATAACATCAACAAATATTATTATTATTAGTAGGCCAACTATTATTATTGTTGAAAATAAATTAAGTTTAAAAAAAATGCAAACATGTTATCCAGCAACATAGCCTACAGCGCATGCAGGAAATTCAAGCTAAATTCAAGCTATTTCAAACTAGAGGCCACAGAGGAATGCTGAATCCTGAAATATGACAACGGACAACAATGAATGAAAGCACAAGCAGAACAAGAGCAAAACCACTTACCGAAGACCGGGAATGATAGCGAGTGGCAATGAGAATCCCCTCTGAAGTGGTAACAGAGAGTCTGACAGATAGAGAACACGCTGCAACTAAAGTTGTCCAAAGGACCACAGTCTTATAACGCAGCAGCGAGAAACGTGAAGTCGTCCAAAAACGTGAATCCCAGGCAGAAGCAGAAAACGCTTTTGTTTATGAAACGTGTCTGGTTGTAATGGCCGCGCTGCACAGCTACTTAATAATTGGACGTTACTTCAGTTGTCGCCAATCAGCAGAGAATGAGCTCGTGATGGGGGATCTACAGACAAGTGTCAGATAAAATCATTTGCATGGATAAGGCGAAATACTAGGTATATTTCAAGCTTTCAATGCAAAGAAGTTATTGGGATTTTTCTAAAAAACTAAGATTTGTTAGAAAATGTTTTTTTAATTTTATTTTATTGACTGAACTTATTAGAAAAGTGGGCTTATTAACACATGAATACTGTTATATATTCAAAAGAACAATATAAGACAAGCACAAGTTTCATGTGTGGGTCTTATTCAATTGTAAGCTACTTCTAGAATTTGCCAATTAAAAATGGACCAGGGGCCGCAGTTGGTCCCGGACCGTAGTTTGGACATCCCTGGTTTAGGATATGGGTTGGGTTTATAATTCACTTCCTCTTTCATTTCCCAGAGAGTGATTTGGAAAATAAAGAAACATCTCTATCTAAATGTTCACTTCCACAGTAAGAATGTTTCCAAGCCGTCCTGGCCTGTGTTACATAAGTGACAGTTTCCTCTCTTCCTGTGTTGTGTCCAGATAAAAGGCAGCGATGCAGGCTGGACGCTGGGCTACATGTTGAATCTGACAAATATGATTCCAGCAGAGGCGCCTGACACCCCCCCTCTGCCCCACGTGGGCTACGTCTCAATAGTTTCCGTCATTGCAGTGCTTCTATTCATCCTCTTCATCGTCAGCCTGCGTCCTCTCTGGCCCCGCTGCTCCAAACAACCACAGATTGTATAAACACGAGGGACGGTGAGAGAGGAAATGTCTAGAGGGCTTTTGAGTGTGTCCCCGTTGGCTTTTATGCCAGTTTGGGAAAAGGATAGTCAACTCTACACTTTCCTGCTTCCCCGGGGAGGTCAATGGTCAACCCCTGCTGCACGTCAACAGTCCTGCAGCTCATGTGGATTCAAGGACATTTCAGAAGGACAAATACTTTCTGTACACTTTATAAAGAGTGCGTTTTGGTTCTCTGGTTAAAGGACAGTTTCTGTGTTTGTGAGTGTGTATGTTGAATTTGAATGGGTGTGCGAGTGTTTGTGAACCCATCGGTCTGCATGTGTCTTGAAATATGATGTGAATATGATACTGTATAAATAAAATATCCCAAATTTATATAAAATGTTTGAATAACTTGCAATTTCTAAACAAATATATAATCAATTACAAAATGTTAATTTTGCATGATTTATTTATACTCTATCCAGAGTGGCTTTATAAAAAAACTACCATTACAAATGAATGCTTTCGAATAAAACCCACAAACAAGCATCTGATAGTGAAAACAAGAGAAATATGATTTTTGGAAGACATGGTATATCTTTTTGAGAGCTGTTTTGCAAAGAAGCAAGTGCACTGGATAATAAAATACATGCTCCCTCTCCTTCAGTTGTAACAATTACACATTCTTGCATAATAACATTTGTCATGAAACTCTCCTCTGGGCAGCAGTAGGTTAATTCCCAGTGACAATAAATATTGAACAAATATTTTGTGTTTAGAATGAAAGGGCTGCCCTCTAGTGGCAATGTCCTCACATTGCAGTCTTGTAACCTCAATAATTTACATTCAGCTGCCAGATCATAAGGTACATCTAGCTGAAACTAATAAAATAACAGTACTTAATAATCTTTCCTTCATTAAAATGGTTACAATACTCAGTTTTGGGGGAAACAGTGTTAAATCAACTGTATGGTCATTATGGTGTCAGTAGTGTGCAGTGTTTTTGAAGTCTATTGTGTTATCATTTTTGACCCAATTCATATCAATGACCATGTAGCCTAATATGTGTGCATAATGCACTGTAGGCCAACTGATGGTGCGCCCGACTCCCTTGGTGCTGCTTCAATACATCCAACAAGGCACATTTCCTATGCAAATACCATCATCGACTGATTTCAATGCTAAAAGCATGGCGTGAAATCCTAGAGGAAACTGTGCCACTTTGGAATGAAGGCATTAAGACATTGGCAGGAAGTGGAACCATGTGGGGTTTCCCTCCGTTTGAGAGCCTAGCCCTTCCTCTGTGTCACAGATAGTTCTTATCTGCAGGGAATGGAGCTACAGGAGAGAATAAGAAAACAATGGCATCCTGATTCTGTGGGTGGTTCCTGCTTTCACGCCACAAATGTCTGTTGGTATTGGCAATGGCAGGAGGCCATTTTAAGTGATTAAGCGACCCAGCTTACATGTAGATTTAAACACAAGTGTGATCAGGCTCCTAACACATTTAGAGGTCAAAGCTGGTATGTCATGAGCAGTCATAAATAGAGCACAAGTGTATAGCCCTTATATACAGTATATTGTTTCCCAGACTGTCATCTCAGTTTATTGTCCACAGTAGGGGATACTGATACTGCAGAGTAAGGTGTTGACTTGTTGTCCCGCTGTAGGGAGGCAGCCTGTTCTGACACAGACGGGATGACTGGTAGGTGATTCGTCACGTGATCCAAGGTTTCGCTCAGCTGGTCGCTGTTGATTATGTTGGTAGTCTCGGAGTCCAGCTCCTTCACTTTCTCTTGGTAGAACCTATGACTGAGGCGTTTCATCTGGGGAAGCTCGCAACACGTCTCCAGCACCACCAGGACGAACACCAAGCCTATCAGCAAGTAGACTGGAGCAAACAAACAGGGAGTGTGATGAAACAAAGACCGGTGACTAATGCGATCAAATCAAGGTTTGGTCGATACATAAAGGGTGTAATAGCTAGTGCAACAGTTGCTTTGTTTAACCATGTCCATCAGAAAAGCTAAAGGGTAAGTTCTGAAAAACATGTTGAACTTGGAGGCCTAACCTGTAGCAAATAAATTCTCAATGACATGTTGGTGATCCCTCATCATTTAGTCTAGCCCCATCATAAGGTCAAGATTTCAACCAGTCCAATACTTTAGTTCATGACCAAATTAGTCATTTGCATGTGACCATTAGCCTCATCTATCCTTTGCGTTAAGTGCTTATTATCAAACTTTAAAATGCTGAAATGTCTAAAGTAGATACACTGGCTAATGGTAAGGAATACCTGATAAACATCAATATATTAACACTGTCATTGTGAGCAGGTTAGAATGATGATGTTAGCTTTTAGCTCCATTCCCTTCCCAGCTATATGCTAGCATTGCTGCATGCTGTGAAAATTCACTTCTCTGGACCTTTATAATTATCCTGTTTAATCAGAGAAAAGTCACTCAGACACATTGCTGAACTACATTTGTTTCAACAGCTTTTGCAATAACAGCAACACAACTGTTGACCGCTACCTGTACAATTATAAAGATTGTATTTGTCTTTAGTCAAGGACTACATTTTCAAAAGTGCGCCGCATTTTCTCACAAGCAAAAGAGATGGAATATAGCATTGTGCATAATATCTGGTGAAATACCTGTTTTTTACACGGTCCTGGTACTGAAAAAGCCAACATGTTTTTTTTTCAAATAACTCTTGGTTGAATGGCGTCTCAAGCTATAGAAATCTTATCTAAATCAATGGGTGAATGGCTTTAATTTTCCATTGTCGGAGAGATTTCCACCTGACAGTAATGGGAGCACATCAGCCAGTCTACTCACTTGTAATGGCCAGCCTGTAGAGAGTTGGGTGTGGTATAGCCTCTTTACTATGAGTCTCCCCTGGGACATAATCCCCAAGGCCAATGGTTGTCAGAGAGATGAAACAGAAATACAGAGACTCCAGAAAGTCCCAGTCGCTCTCCAGGCTGACAAAGATCCATGCAGGGATGATGAGGAAGAGCAGGGCAATGATGAGGGCAAGGCAGGTAGCATGTATGGCGGCTAGCTTTGATTTAGACATGGCCCATCGACGGTGGAAATAAGACACGGGACGTCGAGTCACCACGGCCATGATCCTCTGAACCACAACAGTGAGGAAGAAGAGGGTAACAGGTATGCCAAAGATGGAGTAGAAGATACAGAAGGCCTTCCCTTCATCTGAGAGAGGTACCGAGTGGCCATAACCTGAAAACACATCAAAACATGCAGCGAAGACTTTATTACAGGTTGTTAAATTACAGGTGGGATTCTTCTCAAATAACTACTTATAGCTTGTTACACATAACAATAATTAGAGAGAAGGAAATACAGAGAGAAAGACAGTCTATTCATTATGGAGAGTCAGGGGAAACCATTCTAATAAAACCAGATAATGATGTCCTTATAACATCTCTAAAGCTGTTTCTGCTATTGGACATCAAATAGAAAAGTACATACAGTATATACAGTTTATATTAACCTGAACGCTCCCCTGGTGTCAGGGTGATGACTTTCAAATAACCTTTTTTGTTGCAAGCTATTCACAATCATTTACAGTGACATATTAGTGCCACTCTGTAAGTCAAAATGTAATAAAGGTTTATGACCATTAACTATCAGCTTTATTTATAAGTGATTTTTTTTTTATACGAAACTATGGGCCTCTAATTAAAACACCTTTTTTGATTGCAAGGAATGAAACACATTATTAAGGAAGTTCTTTATCCACTACAGGGACACAAGTATTTTTATTAATCAATTTTCAACCATTAATTACAAATATTACCCCTGACTATATTTGTATATGCCTCGCTATGTGTATTGAGCCATTAGTCTCAACTAGTTTGAGGAAGTATTCAGCTATTTTCTGCAAGGTAGCTTATCAATAACAAAACATCATCATTTAGTTGATTATAGTATTTTTGATATAATCTGCATCTGTTAAGTAACATGTAACCAATGTTGCCAGTACGGTATAAAAACAATATTGGATTTCAAAATGCAGTGTGTAAGAAGTGGGTCCTATAAAGAAGGTCTAAGAAAAAAGAAGAAGCAAGATTGAGCTGGGGTAAATGTACTTGTGTAAGCTATGAGTTACATTCCACAGTAGGTTACAACAGAGAAAAGGTTCATAAAGATTGACTTCTCTACCTAAGGACAGGCATGGGCTCATTCAGGTGTTATACCTGTGCCCGGGGCTCACCTGTAGTGGTCAGCACGGTGCTGGTGAAGAACAGGGAGGAAACAAAGTCCCAGTTTCGGTTGGTGTCGTTTCCCAGCACGGACACCCCAGAGTTACTGGCCTCCAGCGCGCGGGCCAGCAGCTCCTCCAGGCGCGCCTGGGACACACAGGGGTTGTTGCTCAGGAAGTCCTGCTGGGCCTCTCGGAGCTCCCGGCGGAGCTCCTGCTCGTAGGGCAGCTCGATGGCGGAGAAGATCCCGGCGCCGATTAAAAGGTAAAGGATGTAACCGACAACCAGAAGCGCCAAATTCAGCGTGGACTGGTGCCGATCCATAAAGCGAGCGCACCAGCCGTGGGTACAGCTGACCACCATCCCTTATTAAACGTTGATTTATCAATAAATGTAGTTTCAATTAACTAGACTTCAAGCCTGTTTCTTCACTTGTATCCTCTCTCTATCCGGTGGATGACCTCGTCTTCCTCATTCTTCACCTCACTGAAGCGTTGTTGACGTCACTTATTCACCGCTTCAGGTGTGCGTGTGTTTTTTTCTGTCTTCCTGCACTCCTTTCTCCAACCGGTTCAACAGGTCTAGTGTTTCGAGTCATTGCAAAGGATTTTCCAACCAGGGCTCAAGGGTATCTTCAGAGACAAAGGTTAACCACTGTTATATCTTTTGTATTTTTAGGGCTAACCTATACACCACACAATGGCATTGACGTAAGATACATCTAAATAGAGAGCTGACGAGACAACACAACATATTAACAATGGAATGAAAGGATTAATCATTTTAAAGGTATGCTAGCTACATATTCCCCTGAAAGATTGTCAGTGTGTTCAGTTCAAAGATGTTTAGAATCAACTATAGGCCAACGCATACAAGGAATGTGTTTGCTGTATGTGTGCATTCCTTAAACTGGTAAGATAAATAGCTAGAATAAAGCAAGTGTTGCAAAAGTTAAGTAATTATAAAATAGACTAATAATAAAACAACTGTAAACACAAAGTAATATCGAATAAAAGAGAATACAATTTGAAATAAATTCTATTACAATATTATATGAAATTAATGTAAGTTTAAAATAGATTAGCTGTGTTAGAAGTCTAATCATTAATCAAATGCTTCTTTTTTTTCAAAAAGTCAATAGATGGTAAAAGTAAAAAAAAGAGTACTTTAATTAATACCTTAATAATGTGTTGATAATACTTCTGTGTTTTTTTAATACATGCCTTTTAATTTGAATGGAGTATATCATAAGGCATTATTACTACATAATACCAACTACTGTGCCAACCTGAAATAACTTCTCTGACTTTTTCCCACTCATCATTTGTAATAATGACTAACTCCACCAGAGGGTGCTGGAGACCGTGTTTCCGATATGTGTAAAGCTACTGGCGTCATCAGATAAAAATAGAAGTAGCAACAATTGGAAA